CTACAACAGAAAAAAAGACACAGATGTGTAAAACATCACACACCTTGTGGCAAGGTGGATTCTTGCGTGGAAAAGAAAATAATGCACATTTTTCCACCATCATTTCTATTGACAGTGTAGCAGTGTTTGTTAAACTATTCTGGATTAAAATTAAACAAATGAGTATAAACCCATTTTAACCTAAACAAAAAATATATTAATAAAAATGTATTAAAAAAAGTTAAGAAATTAATAAATTAAAAACCAAAATAAAAAAAAAAACGAAATTACATATTAAATGTAAAACTAGGTAGGGATTTGATGAAAATAAAAACAAATGAATCACGATTCATGTATTTTAATTAAGCAAAAAAAAACATTTGAAAAAAACTAAATAATAAAAAAATAAAAATATTTCATTAAATGAAAATTATGGAAAAGACAAAACTAACAGGATGGAAAAAGTAAAGTAAAACTAAATAAAAAATAAAGTGAAACTAAGTACATCCATACAAAAAAGAATTGCAATCAAAAGAAAACTAAAAGAAATGATTTCAGAAGAAAATGAGAAAATACAAAGAAAAGAAACAATGAAATGAGACAAACTGAAGAAAAAACAACTATGAAATAAATAGAAAATAAATACCAAAAAAGTGAAAAAAGAAAATTTAAATCCATACATACATTGAAAATACATTAAAAGTAAAAAAAAAAAGATCTTAAAAACTAAGATGATATTTAATGCAATTATGCAATAAAGAGACAGGCAAACAGATGAACAACAACAAAAATAAATTAAACGGAAGAGACAAACAAACACGTTTAAGTATAACATCGCATTGGCCCGATGCAATGCTAAAGCTACTGACCAACCACAAATATTACATTTGTATCCTAATTACACTATTCCTAATTCCTAAAGGTCTCCTGAAGTGCTTTGAAAAGGCGAAGCTTTGTTCAATGTGTCAAATAATTTCAGCTGAAATATGAAGACTGGCCAGGGCAAATATAGCAGACCCTCCCCTTTAAAAAAATAGCCAATAGTGTTTTGTTACTAAGCACTTCAGACTCATGACAATTGCAGTCTTTAACAGTAATGCTGAGTCACTCTGATCGTTTTAATGCTTTAAACACAGCATTCAGTTCTAAGTTTAACAAGTATAATGGTTTGTGCATTGACTGATGTTTGCAATACATTACTATCCTTTGGTCTCACCGTAGATAAAGTAAGTGAGTGTTCATGCACACAGTGTGCTTCAGCATGCCGGATATTGCGGTTCCTCCCTTCATTGCAACTAATGGATGTGGAGGAGTTCAGATCAACATGGCATCAGCTACTGTTTATTATTTTTTTATATTAGAAAGTGTTCAAGGGAAGCCGTATAAAGCCTTGGTTACATGTGAATAAGTGACTGATTTCAGCTGCATCAGTGGACAGGACCCTCCAAAAGGAAGCAAATGGTCAGACTTAGTTTTTTTTAAGTAGATTCATTTGGACAGATTAATTGTTTACCTAAAGAATAACAAAATGCGCTAGCTCTCCTTTGGCTTAGCTTCTCATTTATCAAAAAACAAACATAGTAAATTTTGATTTCACACAGACTTTGAGATCTTTGTGTGTATGAAAGGGAATTTGAAGACATCCACATTTGCAAGTGATTCTTTGTCGGCCGAACAACAAAAGGTCAGTTCTCCTTTGATGCAGTACAGTCAGGAAAATTCACAACATCTTTCCATCTGGGGAAGTTTTCCTTTAAAGCAGTTAAAATGTGAGCTTTCCTCAGCAACGTGACTCAGTATAAATTACCGGCAATTTTCCGGAAAGGTTGTATGTGTGAACAGGTCCTTTTTGAAAATACCAGTAAATTCGTTCTGGCTATTTTCCGGAAAGAGAAGTTGTAACATTACCGGCAATTTGCCGGAATGCTGCGCTGTGTGAATGCAGAAGGAAGATTACCGTAATAAGCGCGTGCACGTCTAGAACGTGCTGACGTGAGACGTCTGCTTTAGCCAATCAGAACAGTCAGACGCATTTACGTCCGCGCGGTTTATGAGCATAAAAGCCTTTGAATATTTTTCCAGACACATTTAGCTGCTAGAAGTTAGTCAGATCACGTTTATATGTTCTTCTTAATGCCAACTGTGTAAATAATCATCGATGAGATGCTTATGATAAGCCGTTGTTTGTTTACCTTCTAGCTTTGCGTGTGCCTGTGAGCGCCTGCACACGCACATATTATGAACATCTCGACATGCGAAAGTGATCCTGCGAAAGTTGTTCACAATATTGATCATCCACAGAGTTTGTAATTTAGTCAAATGTTTACAAATACAAGCGCAGCCGTTTAAAGCTTTTTTTTTGGTGAATGATGTCAGAATTTACCGGTATTTTGGAATGGATGTGTGAATGCTCTTTTCCGGAAAATTGTGAAATTGTGAAAAATTGTGAAAGTGTGAACAGCGCTATAGTCTACATATTCATTCATTCATTTTCCTTCAGCTTAGTCCCTTTATTTATCAGGCGTCACCACAGCAGAATGAACCGCCAACTTTTCCAGCATATGTTTTACGCAGCGTATACCCTTCCGGCTGCAACCCAGCACTGAGAAACACCCATACACTCTCGCATTCACGCATATACACTACGGCCAATTTAGTTAATCCAATTCACCCATAGCGTGTCTTTAAACTGTGGAGCAAACCGGAGCACCCAGAGGAAACCCACGCCAGCATGAGGAGAATATGCAAACTTCACACAGCAGCGAAAACTGACCCAGCCGGGGCTTGAACCAGCAACGTCCTTGCTGTGAGGTGACAGTGCTAACCACTGAGCCACTGCGCTGCCCTAGTCTGCATATTGATGTAAAAAACAAACAAAAAACAAAACAAAAAAAAACAATACACAAATATAAAAATGAAATAAAAGAAATAGCTTTTTTAAAAAAAATTTAAAAAAAAGTTATTTTTTTTTATATTCCAGTTAGTTAAATACATCCGGTTATAAAGCATTCCTTTTGTTTAACACTGACAGGAATGTTTGACCTCAGCACTGCTGATCACACAAACACGCGCACGCACACAAGCAGCTGGATTCCCAAGAAACCAATGACAGTTTTTACAGCAAACTTGAGTGTCGTTCTACTATTTGGCTGCCAAAAAGCAAATATTCTTAATGTTTCTTTAATGTAAATCATAATTTACTTTAATAATTAGAAAGCAATAGAATAGTAATTTGAAAAATACAAATAAATAATAATATGTTTTTTATTAAGCATTGGTTAAAAGATTTGATCATATTTAATAACTATTAATCAAAACAGCATTAATAATAATTGGCACTTTAATAACTACAAATTATTACTACAAATTATACAAATATACACATACATACATACACACTAACTAGACAGGTTAGTGTAATTAGGCAAGATATTGTATAATGATGGTTTGTTCTATTGAAAAATTATTTATCTTAAAGGGATCTCAAAGTATTTTGACCTCAAAATGTAGTGTAAAAATTAAAAAAACTGCTTTTATTCTAGCCAAAATAAAACAAATAAGACTTTCTCTTGGAGAAATATTATCAGACATACTGTGTCCTTGCTCTGTTGAACATCATTTGGGAAATATTAAAAAAAGAATAATAATATTCAATGGGGGGCTAATAATTCTGACTTCAAATGTGTGTATGTATGCATGTATGCATGCATGTATGTATGTATGTATGTATGTATGTATGTATGTATGTATGTATATATGTATGTATGTATGTATATATATATATATATGTATATATATATATATATATATATATATGTATATATATATATATATATATATATATATATATATATATATATATATGTATGTATATATATATATATATATATACACACTGTATATGCACACAACAGTTATGTCTAGTTCTTTAATCTGATTGGCTGATAGCCATGCAATATTCTGGTAGAAACAGTACTCATCCAGTCTCTTCACCCTTCACCCTTGTGTTAAACTCCGCTAACATACAGCAAAAAGCAGAGGACACGACAGTTTGACAAATATTGCTCCTGTTGGGCAACATACTGTACTTTTGAGGCTTTTTTTATTCGAGAATGTAGTTGCTTAGATTGCAACTATGCAGTTTATTTGTTTTAGCAAAAATGATTGACAATGTTCATCCATAAAAAAAGCGATAGAGACCGCATACTAAACGCTAGGTCAAAAACAGCAAAATTTCAAATTTCAAATTACAGCTGATAAAATGATTATTAAACAGGTAAATGACTTTCCAAGTTGATCTCTCTCTCTCTCTCTCTCTCTCTCTTTTATGTTCTAGTTCAATCTCTGTAGACTGATGGCATTTCATGCCGTTCAGTCTTATAATCTTAAAATGTGAGCAAAATCACCTGTTTTCTCATCACTTTAGCCATTACACTATAGAGAGTCATTTAAACACAAGCTCTAACGTGATGTTGGGGAATCAGCAACGGTTTCTGCTGTTCTGAAGTCACCTGCAGATGTGAATGAATGGTGGAAGAAAGTAGTTCCTCTAACAAAACATTTTTTAGACTCTCCGTGTTTGATTTTCTTTTTTTACACACACGATTATGCTATCGAATTGCTCTATAAACGATATCACACTTGTAGCAGTGCAATATGGCTGTATATCTTCTCTGGTGGGACTCGCACTAGTGATAAATATTATAAATATTAGTCAAATGCTGTTTAATAGAGCAAGGAAATTTTCAGAGTACAGATATAGAACATTTTAATTATTGTTGTTGTTGTTTCTAATACTTGTGATTAAAACTAAACTAAACCAACCAACCAAACAACAAACAAATTACATTTTAATAACCAGGTAAAACAGAATCTTATATTGGTATATGCGATATGTAAAATATTTATAAGTATATGCATTAATAAAATTATTGAAATATGAAATATATGAATATGAAAAATACAGGGAAAAAATTAAGACAAAACAAAGAGGAAGAATATAAAGAATACGATGAAGATTA